CTCTAACTTCGATGGAGTGATTGAGGGTGTATCGCTCCATAACCCCATTAAGGGATTTCCAGGAACAATCTGCTGTTTTCGAATAATTGTTCTCTAAATTTACACCCCTCCCGCCTAAAATTCTTCCCACTTGTTGTGGTGATTAGGGTCATACCATAATCCTAGACCAAGGGATTTTCAGGAACAATCTTCCCTTTCGAGCAATCGTTACCTATATTTACCACCAGTATAAAAATGGCTGAAAATTATAGAAAGGTGGAGCTATTATTAAACGGGACCTCCGGTCCCCCTCTAACCTCGATGGGGTGTGAATGAGGGATACACCATGCCTATGTGTAATCCAAGGGATTTTTAGGAACAATCTGTCGTTTTCGAACGATATTGTTTTCCAATTCCTCTCCTTATTGTTTCCCAACTCCTCTAATATTATCCCTACCCCTCCCCCATCTCCTTCCCCGCCATCCGCACTTTTTATCCCTCAGCCGTGGCCATTAGATTGAAGAATTTGTGCTGTTTTGAAAAACATCGCTAATTTCGCGGCCGCACACACAGTGAAGTAAATAGTGAAATCTGCAGTCCAACGCGATCGTATCTTATCTTATTGTTGGCTGGAATTGTGGGCTGGCTTGTTGTTGGCTGGCAGATTGTTGGCTAGCTTGATGTAGCTGCGCTTGAGCTCTCCTTTTTTTAACGGACCTGCGCATTTTTTTGACAGAAGAGCAAACAGTCATAGAGGGCGGTACACACAATTTTACTTCGAGAATCGAAACCCCGGCTGTTTCGATGGCGACGTCAAGCTTTAAGCAGTTTAAGTGAGGTCAATGATGTTATTTTTCAACATGAAGCAATACGAAAGATAAAGTAATAACGAATATAAGTTAGTATAGGAATGGGCGCTAATGCACTTTAGTACTCCACCCTCCATAGAATGGAAGTTCTATGATCGGTGTATTTTACATGTGTTAAGGCTGTACTAGGCCTTAGATAGAGGTCTACCACCACTCTACTTGTTGTAGGCCCTAGACTTTGATCAGGATAGGTAGGTAGGGAGGCTATTCTTTGATTTGATCATACCTGACCTCCTGCACCAGGCCAGGGAGGGTTGGCCAGCTAGCACTGAATATTAATATTTTGGTATACAAAACCACCCATTTATTATAGGCCTAGGCTAAATCTAGGCCGTAGAGAGGCTAGACTAGGTAGACCTGGCCTGGTGATGGAGGACATCGGTATGGATTCTTAGAACTTAGAATTCATTGGACTGGTGGTAACTGGTATATTTCATTAAATGATAATTGGTTGGTGAAGTCTCCAATCGACTAGTCCAATCCTAATCTCACTCAAGTATGGGAAAAAATCAGGTTATAATTAAAAATAGCCAGTAAAATATAAAATTAATAGATAGTATCAATAGGCCATCCCTATTCATCATATCAATTTAAGAGAGGCAGGCCTACTTTACTACAAGCTGTATTTCGATAATAATAACAGGACTATTAAATAGTACAGACAATACTTTGCATTAAAATAAAATTTGTCTTCCAGATCACACGATGGGTGATCATCACAAGAAGGTTCTCAGAAATTACCTGAAATCTCATCAGTCAAAATCAGGGATTGGAGATACAGAAGGAAATGCTGATGAAAGGTAACATTGATTTCTGCATGATTTTCTAGAGGCTGACCAAACCCACCTTCCCCCACCCCAACAAAAAAGAAAAAAAATCGAATCTTATAATAAAAAAAAGTTGAGGTCCAAGAACAGAAATTTTCTTTTTAAACTTGTTACTAACATTGCGGCAATACACTACTGTACATGTTAATTATTGATAAAACATTGTTCATTTGGATCCAATATAAAACTATGGAGCATCTAAACGAATATATTTTACAATGTTAATTATTGTTTCAGATCTCAAAACCCAAATCTAATTGATAAATTTGAGGGTTTGAAAGTCTTAAAAACTCCTGTAAAGGCAAAATCAAAATCTCCAGTTTCTGCAAAGACCCCAATACAGATGCAGTTACCGAGGAAGTTCACAGCAAGTCGGAAAGCCAGCATTGATGACATGCCAGATGAGGTCTTGCTCTACATCTTTGGGTTCCTGCCAGCGAATGACCTCCTGACATCAGCCAGTGTCTGCAGAAGGTGGTTGAAGCTATCCAATGATGAGTATGTATATGTAGTAGAGAATTTAAATAGTTTTTATTATATCTATATTCTCACCAATTTAGGGGTCCCCAGGCCAAACCTTTTCAAATGGGAGGGTACAACATATTTAGAATAGATAAGTGAGTAGCACTAAAATTAGTGGCAAAACGGGGGGTTGGGGGTGGAATTTTCGGTAGATATGTTATTTTCCAGAAGGTGCTCTCGCGGTAGTGAGGGAGGCTTTATCGATTTCCAGGAGACTCCTGTGACTTGGGTAGACTTGGGACCTGTGCCAATATCAGATTTTTTTTTGTTTGTTACATGAATACCTCATAAATTAGTTCCAATGATGTCAAAAAACAACTGACAACAAAGATAATTTGATAAACTTCAACTTAATCATCTTTTGCCTCCAGTGTTCTTTGGCAGGAATTGTACATGAAATACGGACAGTTAAAGAAGCATGAATCGGTGGAGGTTCAATTGAAGGTGCATGGAGATATCCGATGGAAACGAGAATGTATAAGAAGGTAATATCTTCTCTCAAGTTCAGTATCTCTTTGCTCTTAAGTCCCGATGGACAAGAGTAATATGTTGCTACGACGTGGCGCCACAAGTTAAAACTTGTATTGGTAATTCAGTATTGTTTTTTTTAAATAGATGCATTGAAAAACGTAACTCACGGCTTAAGTTGTTGCTGAAGAAGAAAAGCAACTATACTTTGCTTCCAGCAGACACTAAAAAAGTCATCGAGTAAGTAGTGTGTTTTAAAAAAAAAATTACTTCTCCTATTTCTCCTTCTGGTTGTCCTTGATACCACATGATTTTATTCATTTTAATTTTTATGTCTTTCTCAGATTGTTTTATGTTTCATGTATTGCCATAAATCAAATTACTTTAACATTTATCGAGTGTTTTGGGAGAAAACTGCTCACTTTTACTGGAATATTTTCTCTTTATGTTTTTCAGAGTCAGTTGAATTATTATCCTAAGATTTATTGTAAATTTTAATTTTATTATATTTGAAAAATTCTAGAAAACTTGGCATCAGATGGCAGTTAGTTTTAACAGACAGTGACAAGAATGAGCATTTCTTCGACCAATCAGATGTATATCATTTTCAAACATCAGTAACAGTACGGTGGTATAGTCTGGAATTTCCACCAATCAAAAGCCTCTACCAAGCTGCAATATATGCCTTAGCACCTCTATTTTTCCATAAGGATGGCAGTGCAGTTAGTAACAGGTGGGTATTTCTACATACTGTAACTACAGTGCACCCTTTAATTCTCATCAATATAGCAATCATTTATGTGACCGAACTCTGGGACCACCCCAAATTCAGTCACAAATTGGAGGGCTAACTGTATGTTATACAATGATTAATAAAATTAAGCAGTGTGAAGAGAGTACTGTATCCTAATTGTTCTTGTTCCATACACACTAAACTAAAGCAGTAATATGTAAGCTCCTAACAATAAGGTAATTTTTAATTATTAATACCATAGTTCAGTTGATATTTTGTGGTATATTTTTTTCAGCCCATGTCAAAGATCTCTACTTCTGAAGGTGAGGCTAGATGGCGGCTTTACAAAAGAACAGATGGGTGCTGACGAAAGAGTAAGCCTCCACAGTTTGCGAGGGGGCCTAATTCTTGGGACCTGGAAAGTAAGTAAAAAATCAAACTTCTTAGTTTCCTACTGCAAGATATATATACAACATTTGCCTCAAACATTGCTACTTTTAAAAAATAAGGGTAGGGGTTTGGGCCCCCATTTTTTATGTATCCCCTTCCTTACTTTATGTGTATCCCCATCCTTACCTAACCCTCCTGTGTTTGACAGTTAACGATTTTTTTGACAGGATGGTGGTGATCTTGCTTTTTTAAGCCAGTGCCTTCACTGTGCACATCTCATTCAAAAGTGTTTGCGTGGGTCATCTGACAGGTATAGTAATATCTTATCAAATATCTGATATGACCATATATGGGTATTGTGCTTCTCATGATCAATTTTTCTTTGACGAAATCTTTATTTTGAAGATCTAATACTTAAAAACCATCAAACTTTCTATTAGTCACAATAGCAGTTTTTGAATGGTACACCCCCCACCCCACCTCACCCCACTCCTACTTAACCCAATTCACAACACCTCTGCATTAAGTTTATCATTGAATTTTATCAAAATTTCTGTTGCCTTCATCTACAGCATTTATCTTCCATTATTAAAGAAGCCACCAATGGATGATATTGACCCACAATATGGTAAGATAGAAATTTGTTTTTGTAGTTAGTGTAATGAGAAAGATGCAAAATCATGGAATCATTTCCTAACGTACAACTAATAGGGCCCTGTGGTTGAACAGTAGCTCGATACTAAACAGGTTGCCCTGTATAAACAAAGAAGTCTATTATTGAAGAGTTTAAAATGTCACTAAAGCATGTTATTCTCACAATACTTGATTTATTTTGCTCAAGGTCTCCATGACTACACCTGCATTGTGGAGTTGCGTAACCAGAGGGCAGCACAGTGGAGTCAACAGTTCAGGTTCCTTCATACTTCTAAGTCAGACTTAAGTAGGTTGACAAGCACTCTATTAATATAATTAATTCACTAAAGCTAACGTGCGTATACAGACCTTGTTGAATATCATTTCAATAAATTGAATAGGCGGCTCGGGTCACATGATTTATAGTGGGTTTTAGGGTTTGTTCACATCTATCGAGATCGCGAGACGACAGTGCATTGAATATGGCTTCGCCTTGTTGTTGATGTAAGTCACATCATAGATGTTGCAAATGTTGGTTGGATTGCGAATTATAATTTGGTAAATCACTTAGAAGTGTTCCAAAATTAAATTTTTAAACACTTTAATCAGTTTGGTTTGGTAAGGATCCAATGGATAGTGGGAATAAAGCCTGAAAGTTTTTTCAAGGAAAGGTATGGTACCTTCACGACGTACATATTGCTCCAGTGGAGTTGTTGCCGGCTGAGGTAGTTTTTAGGCCTAGGCCTAACTCAAGAATATTATTCATGGCAAATGCTATTGCAGCATGAAAAAAAAAAAAAGAATATTATTTTACAGTTATTTTAAATCCAAAATTAAATCATAGGATGTTTGTAGTTACTGCCAAGTATAATGATCATCATATGACATAAACAAATACTATTATTACATACTGGCATTAGGATGTACCATACCAACCAGGCTTATTATCACCAGCCTGTTTCCTAGACCAAGTTTGGTTGAGCAATCAGTACCGTTAAGGGTTATTTTCTACATTATTACCTGCTCGACTACAGAGATATATAGTCGAGGAGTGATAACTCCCTCTCTGCTCCAGGCCCTGGTCAAGGCTTGACACTCTCTGTGCTGCCTAGACCTATACTTGTATATAGCCTACACTAGCAGCATTCCAGAGCCTAAATAAAATGCACGGAGATTGCAGGCCCAAGTAATTATAAATTACTATTTTTTAAAAACATAGTCCTACTTTTGGTCACTGTCTAAAAAACACTCTCTCAATATACTGTGTTCAAACTGAGTGCACTGTGGTTTACGATGTGGTTGTTTACATTTAGTACCCACTATATGTCATGTGACCAGTAATAGCTGGAGGCGCCGATTTGGTCTATTATTATTTTCAAAGCACTGATAATAAAAAGGAGTAAAATATGTTAACCTCAATTAGGATTTGAACCAGGGAATTGAAATGGCTATATAAAGCATTGTACTCTCTAAACCGTAGGGCCTTTCTGGTATATGATATGAGTTTGCGTCAGGAAAATATCAGGAGTGATATTTTGCCCTACCTGACATGTTATCGTACTGAATACTCAGTACGTCCCCAAATACTAGCGTCAGGGCAAAACATCACTCCTGCCTCACATTTTCAATATAGCAGAAAAGCAATAATTATTATTGATCAATTTTAGAATTAAACATCGATAATAGGTAAAGTAGTTGAAATTTTAAGAAAGTAGAAATTTAATAATTTTTTTTTTCAAAGATGATGGGTTTGCAAAACTAGTGCTAATAAGGGATGATGTAATGGAGGATCATTCAAGTACAATTAAGAAACTTTCTCTTCCATGGAAAACAGAGATCTTCAAAGGAATTGTACAGGTACAATTATTACTAAACTATAAATACAGAAATCTCATAGTATTTTGCATTCATTTCATATAATATATGAAACATTATGTTTTGTCCTGCAGTGGTGTATCATGGTGTGCGCTCGTCAGAAAAGTTCTCTCTTCCCCGGCTTCCCACAGAAAATTTGCTGAGTATAAAATTTCTCGAACTAGCTTCTCCACTCACATCCTCCATGCTAATATTCCTAGATATGCAGCTGCATTTCTTGTATTTTGTATGCCTTCAAAATAAAATGTATCCTAATGAAAATTGAGTGGATTACCGTGACCTCATATAGTCCTGTTAGTATATCTTGAGTTCAAATACCAAAGGAGGAATTATTTTTTCTCCAGAACCTGTATAATAATTCTGATAACCACCATATTTTACACCTGCCAACTCTCACACATAATGATTTGTGAGCCTCACATCTACGTCGTATTATCTCGCCCGCCAAGAAAATGTTATAAAAGATAAATAATGTACTGTATAGGTTGATTATACCCTAAAATTAAAATGTCATTAAAATGTGAATACAGTCCATATAACTTCCTTTTAATGAAACTGTCCCGCCAGATGAATGTAATCAGTTTCACCACTACAATTTTTGTATAAAAACATAGAGGCCGTTCTATTTTGTAATTTTTACATATAGAGGGCTATGTACAATTTTTTTGTCTCGCACATCAGACTCCAGCAAAGTTGGCAGGTATAGTATTGCTTTATATTTGTCTATGATCTTTATTTATATAAAACAAACTGATTCTATTTCTTATTTCTCCTCAAAGGACTTGTGCATTATGGATTTAACATTACATGATGAATTCAAAGAGACAATGTGGACAGTAAGGTGAGTGTTAGTTATGGATCACAGACCTATAAGAATAAAGTGCAAACATTATTCTAAAAGTATAACCATAGATTCAGAATACCTGTTCTAATTCAAATTATATATTTAAAATTATGAATCTTATGCATTTTTGTTGTATAATAACAATGTGGTAGCTAATATCCCTCTTCTTGATTTAATCTAATTATCTGATTAATTCTATTAATAGTTAAAGGATTGATAAATAATAAAATTAATTTTTACTAATTCTTTATTTTTAATAGTTGATCTTATTTTTTCACAGCTCTCCTGTTGCAATATATGAATCAGACGATCATAAAGGTTTGTCAATTTAAACATTTTGTTCTTCATGTTAGATAGATAGGTAGATAGATAGATAAATGGTTTATTAAATAAAAATCACATTAAAGTACATCTTTGCAGCAAAGTGGAATTGTGATTTACAGAAGCTAAATATATGTTGTCTGCTTTTGTTACTTTAATCCTTCTTGAAATGATAAGAAGAGAAATAACTTGGAAACAATATATTACTAGTACATGTGAAAATAGTACGTGGAAATTTATGTTGTTGGAACTTCTACAAAGCTCAAGAAAAAAGAGAGTGGTAGTGCTCATAGTAGAGGACCATTTGGTTTCTGCACTTTTAATAATTTTTTCTCTCACAGTTGATTTCACATATGATGGCCCTGCTTATCACATCAAGCACTCTGATGATATTGGTCATGTGATCTTGAGATTAATCTGGGTATGTTGGCAAATGAGATATATAAACAAAAATATATATATACAGTATACACAATTTAATGTTGAATAATGTATTATTTCTTGAAAATGACAAAAACTAATAAAAAATAATTTTGAAATTAATTGGCAGTAACATACACATTTAAACTTGAGCATAGAAATTATTGAATTAAAAAAATGTGTACCCTGATTTTTATAGTGGATTAATGATAATTAATTTATAATTTTTCTGTAAAATGATGGGTAAACATTTTTCAATTATGTTCATTGATGATTTATATTACTTCAAAATGGGAAAGATAATTTCAAAAAATGATTTTTTTTTTTTTGGTATTTTGCATGGGACAATACTTTAATGAGTGTTAAACACTGATGTATAAAGTAGGATTGTACACTTCTAATGTTATTTCAGATTGAAGACAGAGAGGTGTTCATGGTGACCAAAGGTGAACTATATCTATCTTGCAAAGCAATTAATGACTGGTTCAGCACAAGGTACTAAGGCCAACAAGAGCATACCCAGCCAGTCAACATCAAGCCATTTGGAAGCCACCAACTTGCGGTGAACTAGAAGGAAAAGGAATAACATTGAGTTTGAATGTCAACATATGGTTGACAAAGTAGGACCAAGATACACAGTACTAATGTCCAGTGGTGTAACAGCTATGACCTCTCACTGGCTAAAGCTATGACCCTTTGGTTCCTTCATCACACCATTGCTAAGGTCAACAAAAGTCAAACACAGTTACACTTTTTTATTTTATAAGAACCAGTAAAATTTTGGCCCAAGCGAAGTGTTCTTATTTCACTCTCAAAATGTACTTGTCTTATAAATTTTTAAGCAATTTCAGCCTCAGTGTTCTTATAAAAATGTCTTCTTATAAAAAAAAAAGTGTAATCGAACAATCAAGCCATTTTAAAGCAACATTAACTAGAGGTGAACCAGAAAACAAAGGTCTCAGAGTAGGCCTACAGCATGAAGAATTATGGCATTGACCATGTCATGCCTGTTAGTTGAAAGAAATGCAAAAGTTGTGCTGTTGCTCAGTACTTGCCTTCCTATTACAAGGACCTTGGTTCAATCCTTAAAACTCGCATTAAATTCTCATGCTTGCTGGATGGTGTAAAGGGGAAAGTGCAATACTGTACTGTATATTATCATGGAGTTCTTTAATACAGAAAACTGAGAACATCATCAATAGCTTATAGGTGGCCAGAGCATGCCAGAACAAGTATTAATGAATGGATCGTTTATGTATACATATGAAAATGGATTCATAGGTAATTTATCAGAGCAAATATATTTAATTTAATGTGGAAAAATGGTTAAAACCTGGTTAAATAAAGTAAACAAATTAAATCGGTATGTAAACAACAGTTTGGGATTGATAAATCACTTGACATAACCTATTTGAAACAAATCAGTACAGGATATATTTAAATATTGACAGATTATCAAATGAATTTTATCCTGGACTGGGGAGCAATAAAAATATCATTGTATTATATTATACTAAGTGCATTTAAAATAAATACAAGCCAACTACAGTACCATATATGATACATTAGAATATTTATTACCAAAATGATCAGAGAAGAAACAAAATCTGCAGCATAACTATAACAGCATAATAACAAAATTATGCTGATCATATAATATATATATCTCGTCTCGTCTTGTAATAATACAAGGAAGTAAATAAATCGTTTCTACTGGACTTACTTTATTCAATAGCGATATTTCACGTCCAATCCATAAATGTATATATATACACATATATATTCACAATACTAAGTGATAAGATTACTTAATTTTGGAAGAACAAAATTAGTAATCAAATTGCAAGATCAAATTTCAAACTATAAATAATAATCATGAAAAATTAATTATTATTATTAATATTATTTGTTTAATTTATTTAATTTATTTTAGAACCAAATCGACTATAGAAAAAAAGTTAATAACTTAACAAATCTCCACTAATTTTAATTTTAAAAATTTGCTTACAAAATTACATCTTTCTGTTAATATTATATTTTACATTTTTGGATTGACAAAATGTACAAGTCAAGTATACTGATAAACATAAGTATATTATGCATTGAAAATAAGGTGCGAATTTGTAAAACCATAAACACACGCTCTATAATTATTCCTTAATTATGGACAGATAACCACAACAATGTATCTACAATTTTCATTTTACAGTTTTTGTAGACATTGTAGGCAAAGTCTACTAAAATTATTTTAAAACTAAATGAGGCATGCCATCCAAAAACCAGCAAAATAAAAATTTGACTATAATATACTCCACATTAGGGTCATTTACTGGAATTATGAGTACAGTAATAGTATTGGGACTTCCTAGTATACAGTACTGTCACATTCTAATGCTAATTATTTAGTTTAACATTACACCAGTAAGCTGGTTAAGTTACGGTATGCATAAAGTAGTTTTTAAAAATTAAAAAATTCATTTTGACAATGACTATGCTAAATAATTGCATGAAACGTCATGCATTGGAATTGCAAAACAAAGTATCTCAGACACCAACAGTATACACAATAAAATGAAAACTACCATACCAAATAAAGGCTTGTACAATGTTATTGGTACTTTATTGGCTTATTGACTGCCAGATCTTTTTTTTTAAAGGTTTTGTCCCATGTGCAACAAGTATACAAATACAAACATACTTTCTTGAAATGTTATCAATTAAACATTATCATCAAAATGGTGTGTCTAATAAACTGACAGGAAAATATTAGAAGATGAGTAAACTTGTTGCTGGCATTGGACACTAACTTGTATTGCTCTGCCAAGTGTGAGTTTTCTTGTCCACTTTTTGCATCAGTTGGTATATGTTCAGAGGATGTCCCTACTTGTGCAAATCTTTTGTACTGCCGGCAACATAACAACAAATATACATACATTATTTGTATGTTATCGTCTAGGTGTATCTTTCCTGATATATCAGATGTTAAGTCGGCGCTACTACTGTGTATTACAATAAAGTAATAAACGCTAGAATGTTACTTCGGTTCCGACGAGTATAGTCGTTTCTAGCACCCTTAGCAACACCCTGCGGGACAGGGATACTCGTCGGTGACAGCAAACATATTAAGACATCGCAAAAATAACTTCAGATCTACAAACTTACAGTAGTTATTAATTCTATTATGAAATATATTCCATACAAATGAAACTGCAATGCAAACCACATGGTTAGATTACTGAAAATACAATACTTACAAAAATTTCCACCGATTACACCAAAAAACATGCATACCACACCTTAAACTCGTTTGGCAAACAAATTTTTGCTTAACCAAGAGAAAGATTAACCTAACCCAAGTAGCCACGACTCTAATCCATTACTCATAAATATGGATATTTTTTACATATATATATACCGGTATTTGCCTCATCCTGAATATGTAGAAATCTGGCCCAACAAGGGAGTATCATCCATCTATTTCGATGGTGTTTTCTGCATCAGGAGAAATAATATGAATTGATGTTTGTCCTACCTGATAATAATAATAATATGTTATATATATATATATATATATATATATAGCGCTTAATGCCAACAAGGCTAGTTATCTGGTTGTGTGTATCTGGTTGTGGGTTCGATTCCCACCAAATCCCTTGCAAGACTTTTTTGTAAGCATTTGGGAATGTACTGAGCATTCAGTACTATAACACGTCAGATAGGACAAACATTGATTCATACCATCTTTCTACTTCTAAACCTTTCCAAACATGAACCAAGCTAACCAAATCAGTAGATTAGCTGAGAGTATTTGAAGTTCCTAAGGTGACTCACTTTAGAGGCTTATTGGAAAAGTGTAGGGGATGTACAGCCATCCAGAAAAAGCTTTCACCCCAACTGGAAATTTGCTGAGCAAAAAAAAAATTATGCAAATAGCACCTTATTTTACTAGTTACTATAGTTCCCCCTCACTTAATCAAGCCCCCCTCCCCCACACCATCTTCTCCCATGCCAATATTCCTAGACACACCACCCACTGGCTCATGAGGCATTTGCTCAGCTGACAACCTTGCTATAGATTGTGCCTTTTCCTCACGACGTACAACAAATTGTTAGTGAAATTTCCTTTTAAGCTACAACTGTACTACCAGGTAAAACAGATCATGTGATACTAAATGTTCAGCAGACGTAAAAAATGTTCTAATGTCATAGGCTGTTATGTGCTGTTTAGTTGTAGAACTTTGTTAATTATATAATCATGTAAAGTAGAGTTTTGAAGAATGGCTAGATGTTCTCCTCCTGATATCTCATATTCTATAACTGGTTGCTTTTGCTCATTTTTCCACCTAGAATAAAAAAAAAAAAAATTATTGATTCATTTATATTAAGATATACTTTCCGTGGTAAAATCCAGAAATCTGCAGTTTCCCACACTAACACACTCAAGCTCCCACAAATCATTTGGATGTATTAAGTTAGTAATCATCTTTCAGAAGACAGCTAACCATAGGTATCAATGCACGCAGCCAAGTACTATAAGAGGTGTTAAGAAAGCTCATTATTAAACCTGGTGGCTTCTTCAAAATTGGGACCATAGCTGCAGACAGTCTATATTTAATGGTTGGCTGGGATGTCTTACACCATGAATGCACTTTCTCTAAACCAATCCATTGTGTGTGCTGTTCAAACTCATTTGTGTGGAAGATATTAATATACAATAATACAGAGCACATTCATTTTAATACACAATTTGTATAACAGGTAACATGTGTTTAATACAATCAAAATTAATGACTTACTTAAGTAGTGCTTTAAGGCTTCGCATATTAACTGTCCCATCACCTTGTCCAAACTTTATTTTAGGTTGTACATCGGGAAATTCATCTCCATATGTATACTGTTCTTCCGTAGGGACATCTTTGCCATGGATTGAGAAAACTGGAACACCTTTAGAGAAAAAGAATACTTTGTTAAACACTATATACAGTATTGTAGAATATTTAAATGGAAAAACTGAGATTTTTTTTTTTACAATATTATAGAAGCATGTCTTCTGTGGATGTGTGTGTGTGTGTTTGTAATGTTATATAAAATATCAATGTCTATTTCATGAATATTTACCTGAATACACTTACCATTGTCAATTATATTGAGTTACAAAGCATGTATTACTACAAGCAAAGACAAAATGATCAAAAAGGTACAGAGGTCCCAAGTATCCTGCAATTTGCAGGAGTCTCCCGTAAATCGGGACTATCTCCCGCACTCTCGCAACCGGACAAGAATCTCCCGGAAAATAACCCATTCCCCCGCAAGTTCATTAAATCTGCATGTTTTTGCTACAGCGTTACCTCTTTATTATCATTTGTCTTACAGAAGTCAGTGTTGATTTGTATCACCATATGGAGCAAAAGAAAAAAAAAAAAAAAAAAAAAAAAAAAAAAAAAACTACAAGCTAAGAACGCTTGTCTAAACAGATATCCCGGAAATGACTTCTTGCAACTAGGGTCTCCTAAAGATGTCACTAATAAAACAACAACATTTTAAAGATCTGAGGCATGTTGTGGCAAAATGGTTACGTTGTCGCGCAGGCCAGTATTGAATAAATGAGTTATAAATTATAACAGCTCAAAATTGTATAAAAATCAATTTTTTTTTCACAATAACCAACAGTTTAGTGTCTAATTAATCATGTCCCAAAGACTTAGTTCTGGAAGAGGTCAACAAATTGTTTATTTAACCTTATTTTAATAGTTAATTCTATTGAACATCGTATGCACACATAACTTTGGAAGGCAATTACTCAAAATAATGTTTATCTTGACTTTATGGGCGCTGTACTTTCACTTCCCAATAACTAAGGCTTGAAATGTCCAATTTCAGTGAATGAAATTTAGTCATTTTAAAGATTACATACTCAAGTATCTGAAAATACCAGTAACTTAAATTTCAATTGTTGCTACAACTTAGCTATTTTGCCACAGAATGCCTCATATGTCTAGTTTTGGACTTCTGCTTGATCAAGTCACTGAAGTTCTTGCTTATTATTAATCTTAATTTTTTGAGGCAATTAAATCCATGATCCATATAAACAAACTAAGGACTTTGGAACAGCCACAGCCAGAAAGTAACTATAGATTCGGCAAATCCAACAATTTCCTTTTAGCGGAGATATTCATGTTATACTGGTTTACTGGGTAGCTCAGACACAAAGAGACCCTTTGGGAGAAGCAAGTTACTTAAAGAGCTAGTCCACACACCTCGAGCGCTTTGAGACCACCAGTATAAAGCTGTATGTAAATCTAACTACATTACATAAATCTTTAAAAGTTCTAGAGAATTGTAAAACATTACGCATATACAATACTTTCCATTCTGAGGTATAAAGTGAAAAATAAAATTCTAAATTGCTTTAAAATGTTCTTTAATAATTAGTTGAAATTTTGATTTCATTTGAATGTATATCTTTAACACATGATAAAAACTTATATAAATTTTAATGTGAAACCTAGAAATTGAACATTATTAGCATACCTGGGGCTTTCACTTCGTTATTCAATGGACTTGTGTCTTTCCAAAGTTCATAGCCAGTTTCGTAGCCAACATCGTTAAAGAACACTTGGTAGTCGTACGCTGTGTAGTTACGCTTTGGGGTAATGACAATCGCCTCATCTTTGGCCCACAGTCTCTGTAATGGGGCTAGTAATGCACTGCTAGGGTACGTACGCTGTGCTTTCCTGGCCTTTAATGCTTCTACAGCCCACACACCAAAGTCATCCCCTGCAACAATAAAGTGTAGTATGAATATGTATAACAATAATAATCAATAATAAAAATATCTATACAAAAAAAACCCAAAAAAAAACACCACTAATAGTATCATCTCATAACGTGTGTGTCAAAGCTAATATATACACACTACAATTTTTTTTCAGCAAAATATCTCACCTGAGGCATACAGCCTGATGATTTTTGTAGCGCCCCCTAGTGGTGGTGCGATTGGCACCCATGATTGGATAAACTTGTCTTTCCAGTCTTGGTCCTGGTGGTTAAGGAAGTAGAGACCAAACATACAGCCTAGACTGTGGCTAATCATCACCACCTTAGTGTTACCGTTCATATAATAGGTTTCTTCTATAAGAGCTTTTAAATCTTTAAAATACTGCGCTGCTTCATCTGAAAAGGTTAAAAAAAACCCTAATTATATAATTCATAATAGGAGCCTCACGTAACCATACATTTTGTTTTCAGATAATCTATATTGCATACTCTCTCACTTTACCAATTCTAACAGGCTTGTGGAGCAGCCAGTCAATATAGTGTGGAGGCCACATGCTCCATATTACATCCAATCAGAGATGAAGATGTGAGAATGTTTACACTTGTTAGCAATAATTAAAATTATTCTATGAGGAAACACAAAATATTTGAAAGTAAACACTGTTCCCATCATGGCCTTTAATTAAATTAACATTGGAGGTAATATTGTAAATAAAATAAATAAATAAACATACAAAAAATGTTATGTTCTCAATTAATTGTCATTTATCAACAATGAAACTTACTCGGAGCTCTTCGGAAATCATACGGGGCTCCACGAACAGTTGTATTCCTCACGTATCCTTTGGCTACAAGGGCATTTACTAGACCAACATAGTACTTGGCTGTTAAAAGAAAAAGGTATAATTATACAAATTATATGATTATACAACACAAAAAGTACATCAAACATTCATATGATCTCGGGTAATAAATAATAATGCATGGTGTTTTTCTTTCACTTGTTGTTGAGAGGTAGGATTGTTTACTAATAATACGTACTGAAGCTTTCGTGGCTTGGATCCAGCCATTCCACCGTAGATGTTGGACCAAATCCAGGCACAGTGATGTTTACACCCGGTGGAAATGAGCTTGTCCTGGTGGTGTTGTCATATACAAGTCTATGATAAGGAAATGAGAAGGATTATGGATTATTAAACACCCTGTACAAATATTAGTCATTATAATACAGAACTTCACAAAATCAAAGAAAATTATCAATTTTAAATGTGCTACAGGCAAATTTGTCGAACATTGTATAGGAACTTTGTTCTGCCTTGGCTTCTCCTGTTACTGTTTCTGAGGAAATTAAAATATTATTATTATTATTATTATTATTAATTTGTCTAGTTTTCAAATGAATAATTAAGTATAATATTTTTTTTTTCTATTAATTCCCTTAAAGTTTCTTTTCCAATTGCTATTGTTTAGTGTATTCATTTTTCAATTTTTCTTTTGCTTACAGTATTATTTAATTTCTTAGTTTATCTATTTATATTTCCTTTGTTACTTGTTGTATATATTGAGGGTTCCTAATGACCAGCTCCGGCTGGATGGACCACCCTCACAGAATATTGTTGAAATAAAAAAATAAATAATTACCATAATTACTTTATCATTAATTTGTATATTTAATTATTCATTAATTTATTCATTATTCACAGGTTTACTAATCTTCTTACAGGCATTTATTTATATATTTTTTTGTACAATTCAGATAGAACATTAGATGCTAACCATTTAATAAACACTAAATTATATTTTGCAATTTTTAGATTCATTAAGAAATGACTAATCTCAGTACTATATTTATTAGCTAAACCTTTTATTCATCATAAGTTAATTAAAAAATAGCTTTTCCAGTGATAAATAACATACAAATTATGTAATTCAGGGTTTTCCCCTTTTTTTTAATGGTTATTATAGCAGGTTTTATGGCAGTATGATTTTGAACTTAGTTTTACTAATATTATATTAACTTTGACCAATAATTTGAATTAGCTTTTACAATCCTCAATGATATCTTTAAGGATTTCAACCATATTCCTGTCAATTTATTGTCTTTATGTTACATTACCGTTAGTCAGAAGGCTACCCAATCTGCATTATCTTATTAATTGCTAAAAACAATTTCTAATCATATTACTGACCTAGCAATGTAACTGGTTTTTATTGCCTTTAGACTTTGACCAATAATTTAAAGGAACCAACAGTGATGACAGTAAATTTCTGTTTATTGCCTTCATGTTTATATTACCATTAGTCTATATATGCTACCTTATCAACATTATCTTATTCAACTGCTCGGGACACCTGTTAATGGCATTAATGTACATTATTTCTATAGCCTTAACAATCTGACCAATATAGTGGACCAACCAATTAAACCTGATTCATTTATGGAAGTTTTATTAGGATTTGAAATATGTGGGTAGAGAGAATGGGAAAGAAACAACTATTTCACCATAACAGGTTCATCCCATTTGATTACCTGCTATATTCTTATTTCACATAAGTAAGTGTTGATAAAAAGCAAAATATGGAGAGGAAGGTGAAAGGGGGGGGGGGGATAAATGTCCAACTTCACACGATTTTTAGACATTTTTAATGGAATTAGAGGTTCAGAGTAAGATATAATTCATTTTATGGTTTTTCATATCACTTTATTACTTACTGTTAAGCATTTGGTTTATTTACATATTTATTGATACTTTATGTTTTAAATAGTTTTAAGTAGTTGTTTTTTAGGGTATGCAGAATAACATGTGCCCCAGATAAGAAAATACACACCTTATGTTTTCAATGAAGCAGTTGACAAATGGAGGGACAAACTCTCCTACATCTAGCCAGATAGAGTATTCACTGGTATGTTCCTTGCAGTAGAAGTGTGGCACCTCACTTTTGTTCAAGGACGCCCTTAGCTGGCACCCGCCATCTCCAGGCACTGCAAAATACACAAATCAATGGTGATGTTGGTAGTTCATGAGTCGATATTTACCTGGATAAACTGACTAATTGTCTAATCCCTCTCTCTTAGGAGAACACCCCTTTAAAATAATAGAACAGTCAACTCCTGGTACCAGCACAAGCGAAGATGTGTATAAGAGACAGGTCATATACAAGTCTATGCCAAGGAAATGAGAAGGATTATGGATTATTAAACACCCTGTACAAATATTAGTCATTATACAGAACTTCACAAAATCAAAGAAAATTATCAATTTTAAATAAGTAAGTGTTGATAAAAAGCAAAATATGGAGAGGAAGGTGAAAGGAGGGTGATAAATGTCCAACTTCACACGATTTTTAGACATTTTTAATAGAATTAGAGGTTCAGAGTAAGATATAATTCATTTTATGGTTTTTCATATCACTTTATTACTTACTGTTAAGCATTTGGTTTATTTACATATTTATTGATACTTTATGTTTTAAATAGTTTTAAGTAGTTGTTTTTTAGGGTATGCAGAATAACATGTGCCCCAGATAAGAAAATACACACCTTATGTTTTCAATGAAGCAGTTGACAAATGGAGGGACAAACTCTCCTACATCTAGCCAGATAGAGTATTCACTGGTATGTTCCTTGCAGTAGAAGTGTGGCACCTCACTTTTGTTCAAGGACGCCCTTAGCTGGCACCCGCCATCTCCAGGCACTGCAAAATACACAAATCAATGGTGATGTTGGTAGCTTATGAGTGGATATTTACCTGGATAAACTGACTAATTGTCTATTCCCTCTCTCTTAAGAGAACACCCCTTTAAAATTAATAGAACAGTCAACTCCTGGTACCAGCACAAGCGACCCTCTAACCATGCATCTTCCTCATTTTTTTTTAAAGACTGTTGTGCTAACACACAAAAGTGTGTTTCGATTAAAGAGTTTTAAAATTAAAGATTAACAATCAAACTTTTGTTATCATTTTTAGTGTCACTTTGATACAAACCTGATAGCAATGAAAGTACATCTTCAGCATTTATTATGAAAGTGGAAGCATAAATGAAGAATTGGTATCATAAAAATGTGTATTTTTATTTTCGCATACTTCTGTTTGTTTTTGTATTATAATTTTGCTTTTTATCATTGTTTATTACACAGCTTTATGTTTCATAAAGTAATTATAAGGATTTTGAATAGTTTTCTGCAGTTCATCTTTGTCTTTTTCCTCACGGAAGTTTAGAAATGGAAGCACCCTCACAAATAATGACGTGGAAGGAATTGGAACACACTTTTTTATTTATTTATTTGATATGATATTACATGAAAAAAGAAACATAAATAAAGAATTGGCATCATAAAAATATGAATTTTTATTTCGCATACTTTAGTTTGTTTTTGTATTATACTTTATAATTTTGCTTTTTATCACTGTTTATTACGTAGCTTTATGTTTCATAAAGTAGTTATAAGAATTTTGAATAGTTTTTTTGCAGTTTATCTGTGTCTTTTTGCCTCATGAAAGTTTAAAAATGGAGGCACCCTCACAAAAAATAATGTGGAAGAATTGAAACATGCTTACTAAATTATTTGGCTTAAAGCCAGGCTACGAAATGAAAAAATTGATATGTTTGATTTTCTAAGACACAAAAAAAAGGTTTTTGATGAAAAACTTTGGGACAGTTAATGAAATACAGATTTTTGAATATCTAAAATTGGGGGAAATAGCTGGAAATATGGTGGAAAAAGCATGGTTACAACCCAAAATCAGTTGTACAACATTCATTTTTTTTGTCTCCCGAGCCTGGCTTAAATTATTGTAATGTCTAATAATAGACATTGGTAATCATTTTTAAGCACTAAGGGAGAAAATAATGTACTATATATATATATAACAGCTTTTTTTAAAAAGGAAAACAACTATGAATCTCATTAATGATTCTGAAAAATGCAATACACAATGTATTTGGGAACAATATATTTAATCTCATTTTGACAATAAATAAGGGAATCTTATATTGATCCAACTTGGTTTCTTGGGAGTCAACAATGCACACCTTTTGTTCTATACTTACAACAAAAGTTGCAAACTAATTCTTAATTCAATTGTATCTGGTGACTTAGAAGCAGCTGACTACACTAACAACAGTTGTTATTATAAGACTTACAAGTGTACATTTGACTATGAAAGAAGTGCTTTATCATACTTTTTTACACAGCTATCGGGGCGGATCCAGAGATGTCCAAAAGGGGGGCCGATCGAGGCAACACTGTCCTGGGCTATCATTTTTTTCTTTTTCTTTCTTTTTTCTTTCCTTTTTTTTTAACCTCCCAAAAGGGGGGAGGGGCCAGGGCCGGACCACCCGCCCCCCACCCCCCAACAAAACCTTCCCTGGCTATCAAGAACTAGAGGGAAGATTAGCAGAGAAATCATTATCAGTTCGAAACTAAACAGTAGAAACAAACCGATCAATATTCTTGGATCTGTTTGTAAACACTTGACCTTATCTTTGTAGTAAATAAATATTTAATATCAAATAACACTACAGCTGGTATAGCATTTTACCACTGACCTAGCGGCACTAGCCTAAGGTAGTATAAACAAACATTATATAAGGTGTACAGTAGGATGGTTCCCATCTCATGATAAAATCACGCCATTATATGTCTGAAATGGTGTGACTTTGTGAGGAATATATTAGTATTATGACCTTAGAGAAAATTGAAAGTCAAAGATATGTGGCAAAGACAAGCCAAACCAGTCATTCGTCGCAAATCGTGTTTCAGAGAAAATGGCCAAAACATGCTGGAATGTCAAATTTTTAAAAATCTATTTTATTGCATTAAACTAACCTTTATATATCTACACATCATTCTATGCTGTTATTTTCCCCCTTTTCAATGTTAAAAGAATACTTTTTAAGGATTTAAAGATAGTTTCTGCATGAGAAATGCCTGAAATCATAAACTTTGACGGTTAATTTCTCACATATTGTTCTTTAAACAGCTGTGTGGTTAAACTCTTGTAACTTCATAAGGAAATGTCCGATTTTAATGATTTTTTTTACCATTTTATAGCTATTATTTTACTCTCTAACACTGTATTAATAACTCAAAATCAATTTTTGCGCCGAGTGACTGGTTTGGCTTGTCTTTGCCACATATACTGCCTGTTATAAAAAAAAAATGAAAACATATAATCAATATTTATATTTACTTTCTTTATTGAAATAATTAATTAGTTTTCAATTGAAAGTCTTAATGTGTATAATCAGTCAGTATTAGATTTCATCATTTTAGTTTTGAACTGAAAGCAGGAAGCGAATGTTCAATTCCAAAAAAATGGCAATATCATTAGGTCTAATGTGAATTAGTAAAAAGTTAGTCTAAAATTTAAATTAAGATTAAATACATTACCAATGGATGGGCGAACTTATAAATGGGCTTCAAGTTATGTCGATGGTAATCATACTTTGTGCTCACTTAACGTTCTTGAAGACAGTTTCCATTTTATTTTTTATTGTGAAGCATATGAGGATATTAGAATTGAAGAATACAAACTATTGGAAAATGCCCTAAATTGCAATGGTCTAAGCAGATCATGGCTCAAATTCTATAAATAGTGATAATAACACAAAATATATGTTTACTGTATCATTGGTAACACATCTCTTACATATGAAGATGGCTCATATGGATTTTTTGACAAATTTTGTAAAGATTTCATTTGTAAAGCATGGAAAAGAAGATCTTCCCTTAAAAATGTTTGAAGTACTGTAGCCTATGGATTGTCTTTCACATTGCTAATTTTATAGTTAGTGATTCTTTGTATTGTGATTTTCTTTTTTTGTTGTTCTTGTACAACCTTAGAAATGTAAAATGTGTAACTTTTGTATTCTGTGTTAATATTTTCTGTTTATTATTTATATATTTCATCTAATAATCTATCTTTTTGTAGGTCTTGTTGTTAATAAATCTTTGAAAATGGTCTTAATTTATCCGACTTACTTTTATTTTTTAAACTCTTTGCTTGTTACTTTTGTTTTCTTTTCTTTTTGGACGCACCTTCACAAGAGGAAGTGTGCCACTGTTATAAAAGTGAAGATGCCAAATAAATTATTATTATTATTAAAACTACTCAAGAACATTCTTGACGGGGGGTCCAGAGAGAGCCTACGAGACAGGTAGATTGGCAGAGCAGGGGTGCTGGGGTGCTGCTACCTACAGCCACGAGTGACCCTTACTGGTGAAGAAAGTCACTGAACGAGCTACTCCTCCACACTTCAAGAGCCATGAGCTTGTTTGAAGGATACCGGCGCTATACTGTAATACACTAGAATAGGACTACCATTAATCTGTGTTCAGAGGGAGATGTTTTATGTTTAGGATACCAAAATTGTCGTAAGTCAAAAAAGTTAAGATGTTCCTAATATATATCTTAAGTTGATTTATTACCCAATCTTAGCAAAATCTTGGCTTAAAAATCGTCTTAGATGACGCCAATGTACAATCGACTTTCTAATTTTAAGCAATTTTTAAGCTAAGCAATAAGGATAAATTTGACTTAAGCAAAAAAATGGACTTAGGACGAATTTAAGCTGATTTCTAATTTGATAAATCTTCCCCACCCCCAGCCTATTGCATAAGGCTTTCTTAAACTTACTTTGCCTAAGCTTGGCCTCAACTTAGCCTAGGCCAATAAGCCAAATAAATGAACACATACCTAGGCCTACAATTAATTCGTTTCTTTCTTTTACTTTAGAAACAAGTTCTGCTAAATAAACATGCATAGAATATGAATCCAGGACCGAATGGGAAACAAAGGACAGTTCATAATAATACACACTAGGCCTAGGCTACGCTAGGCAAAGTTAGAAGGTTAGACTAGCCCCAGGCACCATCATAAGACTAGGCCTAGCTAGCAGCATCCGATGTCCACGCCACCACAACGCACACACTCGGTCGACGTGGATGACTACTAGGCTAGCTAGGTAGTAGTAGCTGAGCTATCCTAATCCTCTCTTTCCTGGGTCAAAACAATGTAAATTCTCTTACGCAACACGACCGGATTTCTCTTGGATTGCTGGTGAAGTGTTCCGGTAGTCAACAAGGTATCGACAACTATAACGACAAAAACAATAAATAATAAGTCGATCTTCTTTAGTAAAAACAGCATATTTACAGTTCAAACGACACTCTACTTTTAATACGTCGTCGCGTGTCGCCCCGATACGTTCATCAAAACTATCATACAAAAAAAAACGGCGGCGGCGCTGATCAATGAGATGTAAACACTGCCTCCCTTCTCGTGACAATGAAAAATATTTGTAATTAAATTGCGACTGTAATACACATTAAATTGCTATTTACAAAAAAACAATATTAATATCTGGATATGATTCAATCCAATTTTAATCGAATATCAAAATTTTGTCCTTTTAGAATGATTGCTAAGACGAAAGGTCACGTGAATTACAGAGAGATGAGCACGTGATGCACACTCCCTTATCACACCCATTCTTAATATCAAAGGATCACCTGATACCGATTACGCGTTACATCATACATCATTGTCGTTCCTACAACTATAACAATGCATCTTGGCCTACTAAAAGCGGTGGTCTTTTTGGAGGATTCAGTATGTACTGATACAGATCTCCCTCCAATTAAAGACCAATTTTGGGATCGGGGTTTTCATGGTCTTATCAGCTTTGAAAAAATATTCTTATAAAAAGTCGTTCATTAGCAGTGGCGGACCGTCAAGGCAAGCATCAAAGGTATGCAGTGCATACCCTG